GCTGAGGATCAAACCCAGTGCCTCATGCATGTGAGGCAGGCGCTCTACCACTAAGCTACGAGCCCAGCCCCCTAGTAACTGATTTTAATGTCCCCATTTGAAGGAGCGTTAAACCTGGGGAATCATCACTAGCTTGAGGGAATCCTCCCAAACTTACTTCACTAGCACGCTCTCAATGCTAAAAGCCCTTTCAGTTACAAATCCGCAGTCTCACTTCAAGACTCCCAATTCAGTAATTTTTACACTGGCTATGAATACAATCACCTGGGAACAAATTTATGAAAATTAATTTAATTTCCAGATCTCATCCCTACACATTATTCTTTTAGTTGTATGTAATGAGATGGAGCCAGTTAAAAAAACAAGTCACTCAAAAACTCTTTCATTTTTCAGTCACTTTTTTACTACTTTTTTTTTTGCCTATTAATTTCAACAGTATAGATTTGGAGCCTCCTTGTATTTCATAATGTGAAATGTCATTTGAATCCATTCTTATCAGGCAATGATTCATCCCATACACTTATGTATAGTTATCTTCTTCCTCATCATTTTTGTTTTATAAAAATTATCTACAACCCAGTCTACTATGCCTTTCATTTTTTATACCTATTTTGCACTTATCAGTTATAATGCAGTTAATCATAATCATAAATTACTTCAAAACTAACACATGGATGGCAGACTTCCTGTATGACTCAGGAAATAAATGACTAAAAAGAACTAACATGACTACTAACACCATCCATGGGCAGTGGGTGCTTTTTAGTTGCAGTATAAATTTGTTCACAAAGTCCACAAATTGAAAATGTACCAGTTGAAAAGCTTTTGTATCAGATACATAATAGGTCATCAATATATATTAGTTTCTGCCTTCAATTATTTTGTTGTTCTGCCCCTCCCTTTCCTATCATTCACATTCAGGTAATAAATACATTAGATGATCTTGTCTAATCTTAAATTTTAATCTTTAATAGGCTATTAACATTCAACAGTCATATTTCTCTCCTGTGTAGAACAGAAGAGAGTTTGTATTCATGGGTGGGGGATCCTCAGGATATTCATATTCCATTTACTCATAGAGATGATGATAACAACCCATTCAAAGATGATGATATTCAATGAGAACAGAACAAGGAAAATGAGATGTAACACTGGCTGGGACGGATGTGTGTGGGCCAGGGGATGTATGACGTTTCCCTATAGTAACAGGGCTCCTGTTTCATCAGAATGAGACCTCTTGGTATTCTATCAAGGAGATGTTACATTGTGAGTCCTTTCCTCCTCCAAATTAAGTTGGAAACATGGCTCACCAGAAAGACCAGTGAAACTCAGAAAAGTGAAAAGGGAATCATTTTCATTATCACAAAAAAGGAGGGGGGAGAATAAATGAAGACTAATAATTCTTTCTAAAATGTTTCAAATTTCCAAGTAGGAAGTCAAAGAATGAATAGATAATGTGGAGGAAAATGAATGACAAACTTTAAATAATTTCCTTTTAAACTGTGGTCAAAAGACAGCATAATCCAAGCCAGGTGTGTTGGCACACACCTGCAATTCCAGCAACTCAGAAGGCCGAGACAAGGAGGAGCACCAATTTAGCAAGGGTCTAAGCAACTTAGCAAGACCCCATCTCAAAATAAAAAATAAAAAGGGTTGGGGATGTGGCTCAGTGGTTAAGCATCCCTGGGTTTAATCCCTGGAAGAAAGAAAGAAAAAGAGAAAGAAAGAATGAAAGAGGAGGGAGGGAGGAAAAGAAAGGCAGACTACCCTCCAATAAATTGGAAAAACTAGAAGAAATGGATACATTTCTATAAAAACACAATCTTCCCAAATTGAATCAAGAGGACCTAGAAAACATAAACAGACCACTAACTTGTAAAGAGATACAAGCAGTAATAAAAAGCTTTTCAATAAATAAAAGCCCAGGATGAGATGCATTCTCAGCTGAATTCTATCAAACCTTTAAAGAAGAACTAATGCCAATACTCCTCAAATTATTTCATGACATACAAAGTCATGGAACACTTCTTAATCCATCCTATGAAGCCAGTATCACACTAATACCAAAATCAGATAAGGACGCATCAGGGAAAGAAAACTATAGACCAACAGCCCCTATGAATGTAGGTACAAAAATACTTAATAAAATATTAGCAAATCATATTCAACAACATATTAGGAATATTGTACACCACAACAAGGTTATTTTATTCCGGAGATTCAAAGATGGTTTAATATATGCAAATTAATAAATGTAACTCTTCACATTAACAGAATTAGGACAAAATCACTTAGTAATCTCAATAGATGCCAAAAAGGCCTTTGACACAATTCAATACCCATTCATGATAAAAACACTGAAGACACTATGGGTAGAGGGAATCTACCTCAACATCATCATATGAAAAACCCAAAGTCCACCTCATAGTAAATGTAGAAAAACCAAAAGCACTTCCTTTAAAATCTGGGACAAGACAAGAATGTCCACTCAGATCACTACTATTTAATATGTCTCTAGAAATTCTATCCATAGCAATTAGGCAAGAGAAGGAAATAAAAGGGATAAAAATAGGAAAGGAAAAAGTCAAATTGTCACTGTTTGCAGATGATATGATCCTATACCTAGAAGATTCAAACACTCAACAAAAAGGCTATTAGTGCTAATAAACAAATTTGGCAAAATAGCAGTTTAAAAAAATCAATATACAAAAAATCAATAGCTTTCCTATATACCAAAAATGAATCTGCTGAGAAAGAAATCAGGAAAACAATCACCTCAAAACTATAGAATAAATATCTAGGAACAAATCTGTCCTAGGTGAAAAGTCTGTACTATGAAAGTTATAGAACATTGAAGAAATTGAAGAAGACTTTAAAAAATGGAAAGACCTCCTGTGTTTGTGAAAAGGCAGAATTAATATTGTTAAAATTGCCATACTACTAAAAGCAATATATAGATTCAATGCAATACCTATAAAAACACTAATGACATTCTTCATAGAACTAAAATATAGTCCTAAAATTCATTCGGAAGAATAAAAGACCCAGAATAGTCAAAGCAATTTTAAACCAAAAAAGTAATGCTGGCCGTTTCACAATACTTGACTTCAAATTATATTTTGAAGTAACAAAAACTATAGTAACAAAAACTGCATGGTACTGGCATAAAAACCAGACACACAGACCAATGGTTGAGAATAGAAGACAGAGACAAACCCATACAGATTCAGCCATCTGATCCTTGACAAAGATGCCAAAAACGTACATTGGAGAAAAGACACCCTTTTGAACAAATGGTGCTGAGACAACTGGTTTTCCATATGTAGAAGAATGAAACTAAACCCTTATCTCTTACCCTGCACAAAAATAAATGCAAAATGGATCAAATACCAGAAACTGTGCAACTCCTAGAAGAAAATGTAGGGTCAACACTCCAGCTTTTAAGGCACAGGCAATGACTTTCTCATTAGCATGTCTAAATCTCAGGAAATAATGCCAAGAGTTAACAAATGGAATAGCATCAAATTTAAAAGCTACTACACATCAAAGGAAACAATTAGGAATGTGAAAAGAGAACCCACAGAATTGGAGAAAGTCTTTGCTAGCTACTCTTCTGAGGGTCATATATTTTCTCTCATGTGCAAAAGTTAGAGAGGAAAAGGAAAACAAGGATAAAGTTGGATCTCCTAAAAATCAAAGGGAGATCAGTAGAAGAAAGGGACAAGAGATAGGAGGTGGGGAGGGAGGGAGAAAGTGCTGGGGAGTAATACTGGCCAAATTATATTATTTATTATGTGCATGTATAAATATGTAACCACAAATTCCATTAGTATAGTATGTGTAACTATAATGCCCCCAAAAAAATGTGGAAAAAAAGAGCATATGGGATTTGGAATCAAAATCAAATATGTGCTCTGGTGCTGGTTCTATTTTTCAAAGTCTTCCTTTTAGAGGTCACCTGGTGTGGTGAGCCGTTCTAATAGACCGTGGCCGCCATTAGAAGATGGCGCCGGCTTCCACTGTGGCCTGTGATAAACAACTCCTTATATGGAGAATTGGAACGCAATCCCTTACCACCCTATGAGAAAGCTCCACGTGGCAGCTTCGCATTGGGGCTTGAGATGCTTTATTAAGGCTGGGAGGGGCATCCGAGAGGGAGAAGAAGAAATATCAAGGGCCTGAATAAACTGCTGAAAGAAGATTCCTGAGTTGCGTCTTCCTTGCGGGCAAGGGGTCGAGACAACCTGGGCCTTTTGCAACTCACTTTATGGGTGAAATAATCAATATATCAGTTAAGTATGTTTTCTGGGATTTAGATTTTTTGTGTGAAGGACATCAATAGTTTGGACAACATTAGACTGACCCATGCCCATTTCTGGCCTTTCTGCAACCAGATACAGACCCCATACCTGTATGTTTTGCTACTGAATTCAGAGTCTCAGTTTAGGGATCTGACAACAAACTGATAAGTAGAAACACACATATACATCAGATCAAAATAAGAGATAGTTAAAGCCCAGTACAGGCGGAATTTATACCAGATTCCATGTATTTAAGTCCACAAAAGGTAACTGAATTTTCAGCATTATAAAGTTCAATTATCTAAAATTTATGTTACTAAATAGCTAGCATAGCTTAAATAAAGATGTTTGGATGATTTCATACACATCAGCAATAATGTGTATTTTATATTTGCATAACCAAAAGGACTCCTTAGATAATTTTTCAAAATATCTCCTAATTTTAGTTTGAGACATCACTTCAAGAGGGATAGAAACTAGTTACAGACTTTTCCTGATAATTGTTTAGTTAACTCTATGAGTTGGAAACTGGTCCCTCTAATTTTCAAGCAGGGTACCACAAAGCCTTATAGGAGGTTGGCAACAATGAAAATAGCTTCATAATATACAGTGATATTGAGATTGACTTTTATAGTATGTGATATTTTAAAAGAAAAGCATAAAGCTAACTGGAATTTGACTGCTTTCTAGATGCCAGGAAAAGAATATTCTTGGACCATTCTATAACAGATTGCTTAGGAATCATCCTTATCCCTCACCTGGTCTCATTTAGTAGCTATGATACCTTTCAAAGTCTATATCCTCAATCTCAATTTAGCTTTAAATTCCTCACCTGTTTTTTTGTTTTTTTTTTTAACTCTCTACTACACATACCTATTTGGATATCTTCCAGGTATCACAAACTCAACATATCTAAAATAGAATTCACACCTTTCCTTTTCAGTGCCCTCTCCTTTTGTCCCCAATCACACACATGCACAAGGACATCTGTTCCTGCATTTGTAAGAATAGTCTAGCCTTATTCTGTAGCAACAACGAGCACCAGAATCTCAAAAACATGACATATAAAGTTTGTTTCTAGTTCTTATAAAGGTCCTCTCTTGATTGGGCAACAATCCAAAGCAGCTGTCCTTCAGGAGGTGACTCAGTCTTCCCAGCTGCCTTGACTTCTGTGGCTTTCCATCTCAACATAAGGTCTCCCTCTCTCCTGCCAAAGAGGAAGCAAAAGACAAGAAATTGGCACAGTGTCTCCTAGGGCTTCATCTCAGGAGGAGCATGCATCATTTCCATTCACCCTTCATCAGCCAGAGATGTTTCTGTGGTTCCTCCCGACTGAAAAGGTATTGCCAAGTAGAGTGTTCTATGTGCCAGAAGGGAAATGTAGGAAATGAAAACCACATAACATTGTCTTTGACCAAATTTTCTATTTCAAATTTTCAGGTCAGAAACTGGCTTTGTTCATCTTTCTCTTTCAACCCACATCCCATTCGTTGATAAGTTATGTGACTAATTCTAAGTTCTCTATATCTCCTTAATCAGTTCACTCTTCTTCATTCCCACCTCCACTCAAGAAATCCAAACTGTCATCATTTCTTTTTGGTGCCTGAAACAACTTAATGGTCTCCCTGACTCCAGTATTCACGCCCTCAAATCAATTCTCTTTATAACAGTCACAGTGATGTTTTAAAAACACAAACATGATCATATTGATTTGACCCTGTCAGTAACTCGCCATTGCTTTAAAGTAAATACCCAAACCTGTAAATGTGATTTACAAGGCCCTGTATTACCAATATGTACTTAGTTCTTTAACTTCATCTAGTGCAAATTTCTACCTTATAGTGAATGCTCTGCTCATCCAAGATGACTCCTTCATCTCTAAACTTTTACCCAAAGACAATGGAAGATAAAGAGGCCTGACCCTTGCCTTAAGTGGGAAAATCTGAAGGGCCAGAACTCACTACAGGTTTATCAAATGAGATCTCTGTTGCAATTGTATCACAGACAAATTTCTCCCGCTGCCAATTCTATCTCCTTCACTCCCTAGTGGCTATTGTCATTGAAAGACTTCCAGGTAATTTCTTCCACTATAATATCCATCCTGGCTCTGTGTCCTGGGAAGATAAAACATAACTTCAACTTCAATATGCTGCAGCTGTTTGAAATACAGCACGCAGAACATGTTCTTCCCTTTTCCCAGATGTCTCATATGTCTGTGTGTGAGAACTGGAGGGCCAATCTCACCTCCCTAATTTCACCTGAGTAATCCCTAATGACCCATTAGGACTAAAGCCTAGACATCACATCACAAAGAAGCCTTCCCATCAACTCCCTATAGGCACTACATATATATATCTCCCTTCCCAAGATTCCTAACCAGACTGAGCAATTCATTCTTTATGTCAAGCTGCTTTACATTCCCCTGCACAGTGGAATCAGAAGGACCCTGGGAAACACAATAAAAATGTGTTTGAGGGGACACATCACACCCTGCATTAAAATCGGTGATCCTAGTCATTTGACTAGTCCTAGTCATTAGTACGTTTATTCTGAATATAGACCTCTGCTTGTTCTCTGGTCTCAGGAGTATCTCTGACTGACTTGAGAATAACTGGGTTACCTAAATTCTGAATGTGGAAGCCAGAAGGCTACATGGCTTCCTCCTGCTGTATCTCCACCCAACCATTCAGAAACCATTGGGATGTGAAAACAAGCCAAAGACTAGAATTCTTTCAGGAGTCTTGGTCTTCTCCTATGTTACATCTTTTTTCCTATCGCCAACCTCAAGGGTGGTGGCTGGTTTGCCATGTACTCCCCCTTTATCCTGAGGTCTCCCTACCCCTGGAATAGAGTCTACTTCTTCAAACTGGTCTTTTAAAATGCTAAAGTAAGATAAAATAATTTAGAAAATTATTTCATTTATTATGACCTCTTTCAGAGTTACCAACTCCCAACTAAGGTCAGGAAGGCTAAGTAGTAGCCTGTTTTCTAAACAATACTTTCCTTCCTCCTGGGAAAAGGAGGCTGGAGGATCATCCTGGGAGACAGTTTCAAGCAAACACATTCAGGAAGGATATGAAAGTATATGAGTTTCATATTTGTGAAAAACGGTCTCCCATTCGTCATTGAAGCTTTTTGTGTCTGTCACTTAAGAGCTTAAGTTTTCTCTCAGTCATGTTTTTATTTGTCTTGGAAACTTCAGTGACTAAGCACAAAACACATGGCAGGTGCTCAACTATTATTTGTTGAAAGACACTCAGAATAGCTCTGCCTCTTACTCTAGGTCTGCTAAGATTCCTCTCCTTTCCTGAAGAGCACCATCTGGTTCATTTCTGTAAACTCTGACCTCCATTCGCTTTTAATTTGACTTGCAGTATATAAGCTAATTACTTGGTTTTGATGTTTATTCATTATTCTTCATCTTCTTCCACAGTTGCCTCAGATCTTCCATTAGACTCCAAACTTCTAAAGGTAGGAAATCTTTTTTTTTTTTTTGGTTTCTTTTTCTATTACCTGTCTTTGCCTGGTATAAAAAATTTTGCATATGATTAAAACATAATGAAAACATCATGAAGATATATATAAGCAGTCAGATTTGAGAATTATAAATAACTTCAGAATATTGGTTCCAATCAGGTATTTAGATACAAAAGAATTTTAAGATGAACTAAGGTTACTATCTATAGTATAAAAATAATAACATACATTAAGCTGTTACTCTGAGTCGGAAAAATTATTAGATATCTTACCTGAAGTATTTCATTTATCCTCACAGCATCTTAGAAGGTTGCTACTAATTTTGTTCCCTTTTTACAGATTTGAGACTGAGTCAAGGAGTATATTTGAAACAAGTTAGGTAATTTGTTCAAAGTCACACAGTTGCTAAGTGTTGGAATCATGATTCAAACTGAGTTTGATCTAGAACTCAACAAGTTCACTTACACTCCTACTTTCCACATATCTGAACAATAGTTTGACTATTACTATGAAACACTCTTCCTTTAATACACATTAGCTTTGGAAGGTATTTTTTCATGCTGCTGAGGACTGAACCCAGGGCCTCATGCATGCTAGGCAAATGTTTTACCATTCATATCCCCTGTCCCATATTAGTTATCTAATGTGATAAAAGAGTATGGTTTTCATACATAAGAGCTGAAATTGATCCTAATAGCTCAGTGCTTGAACCCATCAGAATTTCTCTGCCTTAAAGCCAGCCCAACTCTTCTTGCAACAAGCCTCAACAGAAATTGTCACAAAATGTTCCAATTTATTCTAAATGGAAAGTGAGTTGGAAATTTTATATCTGAACATTATTAGAACACAGACATGCTTATTAGGAGTAATGAATGCTGCAGGAAACATACACACACACACACATACACACTGAAAAAAATTTTCCAAGTACCACACTGCAGTCTCCACCCCCAGATTATCAAACTGGGAATTTTAATATCACTACCAGCCAATTAAACTTCTTCTTGTTACAAGTAACAAAAATCCAACTTGAACTAGCTTGCACAATAATGGGAACCTTCATTGAAAGGATGCATGTCTCCAGAGCTTATGAAGGCAGGGAGGCAGATGTCTGTAAAGAATAATAATAATAAAGAGGAGACAAACAAGTTGCAGAGGCAGGGAAGGTGACAGAATGGCTCTTTGTCCAAGCAGCCATTTTTTTTTTATACCAATAGGTTACATTAGGTCATTAGTACCATAACCACATTATTGTTTAGAGTAACAGTAAGGTTGCTATTCTGCAGTTACATTTCACAGTTACAGTATGCAACAGTCAGGAGTTTTGTGCAGTTCTCAAGAAAGTCCATTGTCTAAAGTAACTGTTAGGCAGGAAGCTCCAGGAGCATTGGAGCTTGATGAAACATTGTGGTTATCTAGAAAACAAATTCTTCTATTCCCAGGAGCTATGTGTCTGCAGTCAAGGTTGAGGATTGATGAGGCTCTAGCACAGAGGCATCTCAGGGCATTGCCATACCAGCTAGACATAGTATATGTATTGGCCATATTATTAGATTCTAATAGAGATTATAGGGCATTCTAAGGGTGAGAAACAGGATGCCTGTTACCCCCCAGGAGTTTTCGCACCAGGGGAATGCTTCCCTGTACATTTCCATGGTCAGAATCCCTACAAGATGTCCCTTTGGGAACAATGATTAGGCTTCCTCATCACTATTTTCCACCATGCATTTCTTCTATTTGTCTCACTAATTGCAAACCACATTACTCAAACCTCAAGCTCAGAAGAATTTTAGTGGCAAAATATAAAATATAAATAATATGGTAAGTTGTATCAGTGAAGAATATGTTATTAATATCAAGGAAAATAAAAATTAGGGAAAGCTCTAGATAATAAAGCTTATGAACATGAAGGGCGAAAGCAAGATTTCCCACATAGGCAACTCTGTGCAGTGATGGAATCTATGAGACACTTTTTCACAGTTGAGAAATCCCATTCCCTGTTGCCTAGGAGAATAATAATCACATCACTCATGTCTTGGAGTTCTTGGTTAATGAATTGTTTGTTCGTGAACTTTGAAGCTCTGATCAAAATCCTCTGGACCTACAAGTTAGGGTTAATAGCCTCCCTCAATATTTAAGCTTAATGAAATATTGGTTGGTACATTTTAATCAGAGAATCTCATTGTGTAGATGTCCCGAGGGCTCTGAGGTATCACTGGCTGGAGGGTGAGGGGAAATCCTCATTTCACAGAGGAGGAATCTGAGGCCCAAGGAGGGCAAGTGACTGTGAGAGAAGACAAACCTGTCAGATAGTGGATGATGAGCCCCAGCCAGAGTCAGGGCTGAGCCAGTGTGTCCCAAATTGAGGCCACACCTGTGCCAGCAGCAAGGGGATGCTGGACTTTGTGCCTTCCTGTGATCAGAGGGGACTTTTCTTAAATGAGCTGTTCTGAGGTTAAAGCTAGTTATCAAAATAGAGCTGTAAGACTTGGGTTGTACTCAGACCTAATGAAACAGTCAAATGAATGTGTTGTTCAGTTTTGAGAATAATCCAACGTTCTTATTTTAAGGAAAAAATGGTTACAATAAAACTTTGAGTTCATCAAGGCTGATTTCCTCAACAACAAGGATTATTGCCATATAATGGTATCATTTCTTAAATCCTCGTTGTGATGGAAACTTGATACTTCCATTTTCTAAAACTTTTAATAATGCTATAAAACATGATGCTGTGAACTCCCTTACTCTAGTTCCACACTGAAAAAGCCTAAATGTAGTTTGATTTTAGTTGAAGTAGGTTCAGAGCCATATGTCCTCTTTTCTCTAAATTTATTAATAAATGAGAAGAAGAAAGAGAAAGAGGAGAGATGGAAGGAGGGAGGAAAGAAAGAGAATTTTTCATTTATAATAATTTCAGTTTGTTCTGGGTTCACTTTGGATGCAAATATTGGATTTAGATTTGTTTAGGCTTAGTTTGGTTTTCCTATTGTTACTAGTCCTTATATAGAATCTGTATGGGTGGAGATGAGGTCTAAGTATTAGGAAAGCTCAAAAAACATCTCCACATTTCTGGAATGTACCCTCCTCGTCTGTGTACCCCCAAACTCACACACCTGCAGTTCCCGTCTGCTAATACTTCCATCCTCAGTCTGTTAAACTGTCCTTCATCCTGGTCTCAAATTAAACTTCCACTCAATGAAACCATGCCTATCTATCTGCTGAACACTTTTGCAGTACCTGCTGTCTGTAGCAGTCTGAAAGCAACAGGAGATGTCTGACAGTGATGACCCCACATGCCACTATGAACCTGCCCCTGAGGCACAGCAAATGCTCAGCAACTACACTATTAATGATTGAATGAACCAATTAATTAATAAATCTGAAATGTGTTTTCCACACCATTCTCCTTGAAAAACACTTTTACTACCTCAGTCAGCCAGAAGTCTTTCTTATATGAAGATCTTCTACTCCAAGGGTCTTAGTAACTGGGTAAACTTAGTCATGTTTCCTAAAATCTTTGTCCCTCAGATTTCTCACCTGCAAAGTGGAAATAATAATAATAAATAATGGATTAATATAAGATGATGAATACCTCAGGGGGATGCTTCACACATAATAATAATGCAATTAATTTTAACTATTATTATTATTTTGGAGGGTAGTAGTGTGTTATGATTAAAAACATGTGATATATTTAAGAATTACAAATATATGCTGAGTATTTTCTCTTTTTTCCTCATTTTATTAAATTTTTATAAGGTGCATATACTTAAACACCCAGGTCAAAAAGCAGAGCTTTGCTGACCCCACTAGAATCCCCTCCAGACATCCCATCCCAATCATAGCATCCTCTCTCCCTCCAAGAGTAACTGGACCTCCACAGTAATTGCTTTTTGTGTGTGTTTCTTCATGATTTAGCATATGTGTTATCATCCCCAGGCCCTCTTCTTGTCTTGCCCTCTTCTTCAAAATATTTTCAAGTCTATTTCTTTTAGTCTACAGGCTCCTCCTTCATAACTTTCCTTGTTTTTTGTTTGTTTGCTTTTGTTTTTAGAATATATCTTCTGAAGATCTTTGTCAACTGCATTTTCATGGGACCATTCAACATGTTCCTCCATCTTCTGCATGATCTGGAAATTGCAGCTGGCTGCAATGGCTTGATAAGACTCAGATTCATTCCATTCAAAAAAGATCCTAATGTTGAGGTGTGTTCTTTAATCAGGAGGTACATAATGTCCAGGTTTTCTCTGTGAAGTCTATAGTCAATGATTCTCAATTCCTAGGTCCATTAATATACTGCAAATACAAAATGATACTATTCTAATATTTTATTTATTAACTAGGATAATTTTATAAGATGCTTCCCTTTATCTACTCATTCTAAATTCCTATAAGAAAGCCAGAAGAAAAAAAATTATTCCTTTTTATTTATCCAGTTTTCAGAGTAAGAGTTAGTTACCTATCATCTTCTGAAATTATGAATTGACTTTTTAATATATTATAGATGCATGGATTTCAATCCATTTCCATTTCATATTTATTGAAACTTAAATGGTTCCATCTTTGGCCAGTGGGAGCCTCTTCAAGTTGGCTCCTGAGCCCTATCAGCCTCTAAACTACTCTTGTAGTCTATCTCAATAGCTTCTTTGCTTATCTTGTACATTTTCTGTCCCAGAATTCAGAGCATTCAATTGTGCCAAAATCTCTGGTTTCTTTTGATGGGATTTAGTATTTGGAAACCATAATCAGGATGCTAGAGATGTTTGTTGATATTGAGATCAGTCATTGTTTATAGGCATCTTCAGTGAACAGAGATTGGAATCTGAACAAATATTTCAATTTAAACTGAGGATTGCAGTGTGTTTGATTTTCTGTATTGCATTTGTGTATTCATTCTTCTGTACTGAGAACCTGATTCTATAAGATAACAGGAATAATAGAATATTCCACATTTCCTCTTTTGTTTTATCCTACATTGCACATACACACAACAGTTTCAGAATAGCAGTACCATTAATACTAATAATATCATCACTAAAAATAGTGTTTATTTTTTTTCTTTTGGTACTGATGACTTTTTGTACAGGGATGCTCTACCACTGAGCTATGTCCTCAGGCCTTTTTATTATATTTGATTTGATTTGATTTCTCTTTCAGCTTATTCATCATTGGTGTATAGGAATGCAATTGATTTATGGATATAAATTTTACATCCTGCTACTTTGCTGAATTCATTCATGAATTCGAGAACCTTTCTGGTAGAGTGTTTTTTTTGGGGGGTGGGATCTTCTAAATATAGAATCATGTCATCAGCAAATAGGGATTGTTAGTATTAATTCTACAATTAACTATACATGTAATACTTACACTCCCTTCTGTGTAAGTTTCACATTCCATTTTCAAACAGACTTTAGTAGCAATTGTCTTCTGAGTTCCTGAATGTTGACCAGTTAGTGAGCATCATTTATATTTGGAAGACAGTTTTGTTGAACATTAATTTTTTGTCTCATTTTCTTCCCTTGAGTATGTTTCATATGGTACTCCATTTTCCTGAATTCTCCTAGAATTTTCTACATTAAATTAATTTCTTTTTTTACATACCAATTTTTCTCAACACAATTTGTGTAAAAGACTATCCTTTTTCCATTGTGTGTTCTTGGCACAGCTGTGGAGGACCAATTGACTATATATGCATGGTTTTATTTCTGGACTCTTTTTATTTATTTATTTATTTATTTATTTATTTATTTATTTTTTAGAAAATCATGTTTTTTAATCATACAATCAAAAACCTGTAGCGTAATAAAAAATTAGTCAACTAAGTCAACTAAAACCATGTACATTCACACATATTAACTCCAAGACCATAAAATGTAAATGATAAAAGAGTATGTTATTATTTATAAAAATGTCAATATTCAAAGCATGAATATATATATGGTAAATCAATATGATGTGGACTCTTTCTTTTGTCTCATTTGTATATAAGTCTGGACATTTACCACAAAATGCATTCTGCTGTTGGTAGAAGGTCCAGTTTCATACGGTTTTATTACAGTAGCTTTTTGATATGTTTTGAAATAGAAAAATGTATGGTCTCTTCTTTGTTCCTTTTTCTCAAGATTGCTTTGGTTTTCCAAGGTCCTTGTGATTCCATATGAATTTTTAAATTATTTTTGTATTTCTTTCAAAATGGTTATTGGATTTTTGATAAGGATTGGATCTGTCAAACTCTTTCAATGGTATAGACATTTTAGAATACGAAGTTTTCTTATCCATGAATGTGTGGTATCTTTCTATTAACTGGTGTCCTTTTAAATTCATTTTGCATTCTTTTTAAATTCATTTTTATAGTTTTCAGGGAACAAGTCTTTTACCTCTTTTTTTAAATTGTATTCCTAAAGAGTTCGGGTGCTATTGTAGATATGATCTTACTCTAAATTTTATTTTCAGATTATTTTGTTAGTCTATAGAAATACAACTTATTTTTATGTCAATTGTGTATTCTGTAAATAATGAACTTTTTATTCTTAGATTTTTGTTAATTGGTTTAATTTTATTTTTAGATTTAAAGCATTTTTACTACTTAATAATTATATTTTATATAGTTGGATTTGAATGTATTAAAACAAGATAAATTCAGAGAAGTTTAGGGATTTTTTTTTTAATCTTTAGACTTTTCTACATATAAGACCATGTCACATGCTAACAGATTAACAGAGATAATTTTACTATAGGATACCTTTTATTATTTATTTATTTATTTATTTGCCAAATTACTCTGGCTAAGACTTCCAGTAATATGTTGAATAACAGTGGCATCAGTGGATATCCTTGACTTAATCTAAGAGGAAAACGCTTTCTTCTGATCTAAAGGGAATGACTTTAAAAAAAAAAAAAACATTCAGTACGATGTTAGCAATGGCCTTTTCAAATCTGGCCCTTATTATGTTAGGGCAATTTTCTTCTATTCCTAGTTTGTTAAGTATTTTTTATCATAAAAGGTGTTAGATTTTATCAAATAGTTCTTCTATATCTATTGAGATCATTATATGATTTTTATGCTTCCTTCTGTTAGTGTAGGGTGCCACATTGATTGAATTTTATATCTTGAAACATTCTTGCAATCCAGAGATAAATTTAACTTGGACATGGTGTATGATCCTTTTATTGTGCCATTGAATTTGGTTTGATAACATTTTGTTGAGGATTTTTGTATGTATATTAACCAAGGATATTGGCCTTATCTTTCTTTTCTTATAAGTATCTTTTTCTTGCTTTGGCAAAAAATGTATTTGGTATTTTAATATCTTAAATTTGTTAAGGCTTGTTCTGTGACTTAACAGGTGAGCCATCCTGGGAAATGTTCTGTGTGCACGGAAGAAGAATATGTATTCTGTATATCAATGAATATAATATTTGGATGTTTGAAAAGATGAACAACATTGTCAAACATTAGCTATATTAAGAACAAAGAGAAAAGACACAAATAAATAAAATCAAAAGAAAAAGAGAGGACATTTATCACAAAATGCATTCTGCTGCTGGTAGAAGGTCCTGTATATATCTGTTAGTTCTATTCGGTCCATAGTATTTTCTGTTTCCTGATGGAGCTTCTGTATTTTTTTATCCATTACTAAAGGTAAAGTATTGGAATCTCCCAATATCATTGTGTTTCTTGTCATCTGTTTCTCCCTTCAGTTCTGTCACTGTTAGCTTTATCTATTTAGGTGCTCTGATATCGGGAGCTTCTGTAATTATAATTGTTTTTATCTTTCTGATGAGTCTATCATTTTATCCTTATTTAACATTCTTCTCTGTATTTTATGACAGCTTTTTCTTTAACATTTATTTTGCCTGATACAAATATTGCCACTCCTGCTCTCTTTTAGTTGCCATTTGAGTTTAATTTTTTGTACTTTTATCTTCAAATTTTGTACTTTTGTCTTTAAATCTAAAACAAGTCTGTTTATAGATAACACATAGCTAGATCTTATGTTTGAATTTTGTTGTTTTTACCAAGTCAGCCATTCTATTCCGTTCCATTAGAGTGTTTAATTCATTTACATTTAAGACAATTATTGAGAGAGAGAACATGGCGGCGAGAGGGGAGGCAGCGCTTTCAGTACCTCCTCAACAACGGGGTCAGAGAGACGCATGGATACACTTAGATACGACCTGCTGAGAAACTCCTAGCAAAATTCCCCTAAAGAGAGATCGGCCGGGAATCGGTAGGATTTTTGGAGGTGACAGTCTGCGCTAGACGAGTGAATCTCCTCCACGCAGCTCAGAGGTCCAGACCCGCCAGCCGCTGCCTGTGCAACTCTGCGACTGTCGGCTGCCTGCACCGGCCCCCGCGTCAGGGCGGATAGCCTCCGAGGCGCAGCGCAGGAGGAGCGGTGCAGGGACTCTAGGAAGAGGTCTCTGGCCAAGCCTTCATGAAATAGCAAACCAGGAGCTGAAACCAACCAGAGACAGACCAGTCCCACCCCTCCCTTCGGACACTCCGGCAAGGAGCCTGGGGCCCGCCATAGCAGAGTGGTGACATCACCAGAGTTCCGCCAACAGAATTCCTTCCCAGCGGAATCCACATTAGCAGGTGTGAGACTCCCACCCCCTCCAGATACAAGCAGCCAGGAAACCACCGGGGGCGTGTCTGTAGGGAAGCAGAGGGGATTCCAGATCCCCACCTCCCCTTAACACCAGCGGCGACACCCAAGATCTTAGCCGCTAGTTTCTGGGGGCGTGCCCACCAAAGGGGTCCGGAAAAATTAAACTGTTGGTTCCCAGATCACCCCACCACAGCACTGGGGCTTAGATGAATGACAGAGAGAGTGTTCATCGTTTGGGATATAGGACACGCGGTGGGGCTGCAGATGATCTGGAGTATCAAGGAAGAAATTAGACAGCAAAATCAGACAATGAAAGATCACTTCGACAAGGAATTACACAAACAAATCCAGGAAGCAAAGGATCAACTATACAGGGAGATAGAGGTTATAGAAAACAAACAAACAAAATTCTAGAAATGCAGGAAGCAATAAACCAACTTAAAAACTCAATTGAGAATACTACCAGCAGAGTAGAACACTTAGAAGATAGAACATCAGACAATGAAGACAAAGTATTTCAACTGGAAAAGAACATAGACAGCTCAGCAAGACTCTTAAGAAACCATGAGCAGAACATCCAAGAAATATGGGAT